TATCCGGGATGATGATTTTGGTTCAGTAAGATTTGCTAGTCTTGTGATACCTCTGGTAGTTCCCTTAAAAAAATTTGAAAGTGTTGTTTGTACTTTTGTTCTTTATGCACAGTTATCTGCCAGCGATAATGACAATATCAGAGCTGGGAAACAGGTTTCATTTTGGGTTCTCCATCTGAGATTAAAAAAAAATGGAATAACTTTCTAAGAAGGTGCTAGTCTACTTGCAGTTTATTGTGAGAATGTCAAAAGCTGGTTCCTCACTGACTTGTACGACTTCAGTTACACTCTTCCTTGCTATAACCAGAAGCCAATTCTCCATTTCCAAACTAAGGAAATACAGTATGAAAATACATTCATTCATTATTTCTTCGATTCCAAGATCTTCAAAGACTTATCCTAGATAGTCTGAATTCCTGTGCCATATTCCAAGGAAATCCTTTAGAAAGATGCTATTCATTTTATTGCTAAGGACTCTAAGGAAACATATGTTCAGACCCGAAATAATCTGCAACAATTTAAGATAACAAAGCACTTAAGCGACCGTGTTTCTTTCAATTTTCTTCACTTTGAATTTCCTTGTCTGTTCTGTTTGTCCTCTGCTCTCTCTTACCACTGTGCAAACACACCAGTATTCCCACCACCTTCCCCCATTCCCTGTATTCTCACTCCCCATTCTCAGTCTTGTCTTCTGGAATGTTGCTCCCATTCAAGGCCCAAAAAAACCGTGGCATGAACTATTCGTACTGACTTGCTTGCCTTTAGCCCTTAGATCCCATTCTGGTCAACTCGAAGAAGACAGTGGGACTATTTGTTTAATTGACATAGATGCAAAGTGGCATTGCCACTGGATCAAGGAATCCCATTTGACTTGCCAACACTTATTTATTTTCCCAGTGTTAGCCCCATACTGTAGAAGAGCGGACTTTCCTACTGCCATGTCATACAGCAGTTCATCACCTTAAAACAACGCTTAAGTAAAATAAACAAGTAAATAAAGTTGTTGCATAGAAAGGCAATGGAGGACACCTGTGCTCAGCCTTTTAACCCAGAACAGTAACTCCAGAGCAGTTTGCCCATCCATAGCCACAAGTACTCTGGTTGATTTACCCCGATTACAGAAAGGGGAAGATAAGGGATAATTCGACTGAACTGGTCAGCCAGCAGAAACAGGGGAGTTTCGAGCTTCTACCGATGGATGGTGATAAACCTTCCAGTCAAAAGAGCCGCTTACAGATGTAACGCCAGGCATTACAAAAGGTGTCTCGAAAACAAAAACCCTGCTTGCCTTAAGCATTTCAGAAAATGTGCACGTGATCACTTTTGCCAGAGGACACATGACGTTCTATCTCTACCATCAGTGATATGAACTGCTCGTAGAAACATCTTTAATTGGCACGGCTGTATCAGGAAAAGTGGGCTCCCGACACCTTCCCTTTCCCTTCTGTGTTAACTCAGTCATTGTCCCTCTTTGCTCAAACAACAGATGTTGCCACGCAGTTCTTTGTCCTGCAAACTGCTCAACAACTTTAAGTGCTATGCTGAGGTTTAGACCTATAAATACCTTCCTCTTGTTTCTTGCCCTCAGAAGGAGAGAAGACTTTATAAGAAATAGAACGATCTGATTTACCTTGATTTGTACTATCATTACGATACTGAAGTTTGTGAGCATTTTGAGGCTACAGTTAGAAATCCAGCAGCTTTCCTGCATGAGCTATCATCACAATCTGATCGTCTAAGCAGTCCAGTTAAAAAATAACCCAGAAGAACAAGAAAAAAAAACATCTTTCTGTCAGATTAGTTTGAGTCCAGTTCTCTGTGCCTGTGCAAATGCTTCTGTTGGAACAAGGCAAGAGGAGCAGCAGGGGCCGAAGCTGCTGCAGAAATGTAAGAGTAGCCACATTCCTTGATATTTGAGCAGACGGACAGCCTGACTTTAAGTAAAATGTTTTTAGCTGGATTCGAACATTTATTTTTACCATCAATTTTTTTCACATTCAGAATAGAACTGACCCATGGAAATGGTGTTTTTTCCGGTGGATCTGTTCACACAATGCTTTATGTTGGAAGTTCATTTCTCTCTTAGTCATGTTTTGGGTTTTTCTTTAGCAGATGTTTACAATTACTCCTTAAAATGTTTCCATTTTCAGCGATCATTGAATGTGAATGAGGTGACATTTTTAAAAATAATTGTAGCTTTTTCTGGCCAGGAACCATGTTGTTAGATTCAAATAGTCTTTGTCTTTTAAACTGTGGTAAAGGTCTCATATCTTTGTAACAGCAGCATCTGCACCAGTCTGCCTATCTTTTTTTTTTTTTTCTTTGCCTAAGTCAGAGTGCTATTTGTCATTATCTGAATATATCTTGTATCTGGGAATCAGATGTGTACGCCTTTTTATTTAACTTTAAATACATGTACTTGAGAATCGCTTGGAGGACTGTGGAACAAATGGTATTAGAGCAGCTCTTTTCTGAAAAGTGAAAGTTTCTTTGCTTTTCTTTCAATCACTTTTTTCATTTGTTTTTATTGACCACGATTTAGATCAAAGTTCTCACAAATAATGGCCACGTTGCCAACACCTGCAATTACGTTGCAACATTTGTAATGCTTCAGACTAGCTTCAAGTCCCATCCTAGGAGTCATGCGAATATTTGAGAGCTCAGATGTTTCTTCTTTTTCTGTTCAGAGAACTATAGCTCCAGTTGCAGAAGGAAATATTAAAATGCCCTACTTTAACCATGGAGGATCAAAAAAAGGGTCACATCTATATTTTAAAAGATTGTTTTTTAAATAAAAGTCTCGTGACTTTCAGAGCGCTGACTCATGATTTCTGCGTGCTTGACATCAGCAATACCACAACTGAGAGAAAATCTTTGCGAAAGATTCCTTTCTAGTTCTCTTGAGACAAAGGAATCCTCCAGGAAAAAAAACAGAGAAACAACTGTTTCTTATTCATGATAGTTCTCAGTTAAAAACAAGCTGAAAAACTACTTTAAAGTGAACAATATCTGCCAAACCATTCATGCCTGCTTTCTGCACCATTAAGACTGAAAAAAAAAAAAAAAAAAAAAGGTAAAAAACACTTTTTTCTGTTCTTTGTCAGGATGTTGTTCAATTCTGTAAGTATGAAAATTAAATCTCTAGTATAATTTCATATTTTTCAACAAACAGCTTTTAATATGACAGATCCATCCCTCCTTCCTGTCGAGCAAGAAGTCTGGCACTAGAGACACACAATGACTTTTTCATTAATGATTATAATTTATTTTTAATAATACTGTGACTTCTTTTTTTTAGCTTTCATAGAAGAAATGTAACATTTTTATGATTATGTTCCTCCTGCTTAATTAAAATATGCTTCCTTTAATAGGAATAAAGTACTCCAGGAGAAACAAGGAAAATTCACTGAAAAAAAACAAACAAGCCAGAGTCTTTTACTATTGAATGAGAACTTTTCCCCATAAGTTAATGGACTTTTGTTGAAGCACACCTAAGGATGATCCATGCCCTCGAGCTTCTGCTCCTTGAAAACAATTAAAAATATTCACAATTCCTGATAATTCAGGAGATAATCAATAGCTATCCATGACATTGCTGACAACACTAATAGGGGGAATATAGTAATATATCACACTACAAGCAAAAACCTGATTCTGGAACTAGCTCGTTCAGTAATCAAAACTGGAATCCTTTATCAGGCAAAACTTCCTATTAATTCCAAATAGTTTTTTTGCATTAAAACTCCAGGATAAATGGCTTGTGGGTGGGATAAAAATGATCGGTATGCGCCTGTATTAGAATAAACACTTTTGGCAGAAAGTCTTTCAGAGGCAAATCAGGTCAAAGGATGATTTACAAAACTGTCATTGTCATATGGCATTAATTTGATAGCTCATTTCAATTGACATCTGTGAGAAACAGTTGGACGTGCCGCTTTCCTTCCATTAACCAGACTTTCTAATTAATTATACAAAGCTGAAAACAAACAAAATTAGACTGAAAAGTAAAACTATACTCAAGTGAAGGCATACCTTACCCTGAAAAACTCACATTATAGCCACATCCAAATCTGTATTTTGTTACAACTCACCTTTGAATAGTTGTTTTTTTATTAATGTGGGAGGAATCATGAAAAAAAAAAATTGGAATCATCATTCATCAAGTGCTGCTCAGCATATAGTATGAAACTTTCCTCTGCACACACCATGGATAACTCCTTTTTTCCCATCCATTAGTTTTACAAACATAAGCAAAACCACTACTACTACTTATAAATACTCCTCGTATTTCTAATATCATTAGTACCTCAGAGGTACTATTACTTCCTCACCAACAGTCTTTCAGAAGAGGCATTGATTTTAGAGAAAATTCCAGTATCTTGCTCACAAAGTTGCATCTTCTTTATTGTAGACTACAGAATATGTTATTTGACCTATGCTATACCAACCCTGTAACTGATCATACAACTCATGCTGCATCTCTAAACATAGTGCACATAAAACCCATTTAAGAATCCCAGAGCATTGCATCATAACAGTTCCTTAACAATGCTATCTTGTATTTGTAGTATTTTTTTTTGTGAAATTCGATATCACATTTTCATTCTCAGTAGAAATACAATAGAAAATATTCTTTTTTTTTTTGTCTCATCACTTTGCAAGGCATTAGTACAAAACGAGCTTCAAATATAATAAAACAAAATAAATAAATTGGTGTTTTTTAAGAGATGCATATAAATAAGATGATGTTGTGTTACTTGATCAAGATGAAGAAAATAAATTCCTTATGACAATGTCTAGATGTAACCTGCTTATGTGAGACCTTTTTGGGGTTATTCTGCTCCAAAATCAAAATCCTATTATTCTTCCTAATAAAAATAGAGCCTTCAAAGCTGCTGCTTTGGTCGGATAAGGCATCACTCAATTAATGTACAACTCAGAGAGCAAAGAAATTATTCCTGCTAATACATTGCTTCGTTAAAAAATATAAAATTACTCACATGTTTAGTATTGTTTCTGGAAAGGGACTCTGTGCCTGAAATCAGGATAATCCTGGAAAAAAAGAAAGTAATATGAGTTCTTGGCTATATAGATTGTTGTTGCAGATACGGTGTGGTGTAGACTGAAAGGACTATTTGTTGACTGTTTCTTTCTGACATAGTGTATGAATCTCATTCTGAGGTGGTCTGCTGGTTGCCTGCAGTGCAAGAGAAGAAATCATTTCCCTTTTGATGTATAATTTGGCTTCTGGTTTTTGTTTTGCTTTCCTCAGAGCACTGAAGACTGACTACGACTGGAACTGGTAGAGGATGTCAGACTTTATGTAATTGCTCGCAGTGTCTAGCTGGGGTGTCTTCCTCATGTTAATCCAGCCTTCAGATGTTAGGTTAATTAAGCATGTCCCCATCCCAGATCAGTATGAAATATTAGAATATTATTATTATTTTTATTTTTATTATCTCAGGAGGCTTGAATTAGCTAGAATAATTTGAGAATTTTGCCTCTCAAACGGTACGTGAATGAGTCTGAGAGCAAAAAGGTTATGAGCCCATTTACAAAGACAAGTAAAAAAAAGGTCTTTTTGTCTCCTCATAAGTACCACATACAGAGCTATGTGTTGTTACGCCTTTAAGTGAAATTTGTGCTAAGTTCCAAAGACTCTATCATACTCAAATATTGCATGTTATTAGAAGTCCTGTACTTGTAATACGAAGGTGCTGACCAAGTATTCTCTAAATAAAAGATCTCTGTAACAATGCATACATATTGAATTATAATGACTTCTAAGAGGAGTAGCTCCATTACTCCATGAATAAAAACAACATTTTTCAACTTTTTTCACAGATAAACCTGTTTATCTAAATATTATGCTTGTTGTTCTCTGCCTCAGACATAGCTTCTGGAGCAACATGGGAATGGAGAGAAAAAAGAATATTGTTAAGCAGTTGAACCAGCCTTTTCCTGGCTGTCACATGTCAGAGCAAGGAGTTTCTGTATTGCCCAATGATTAACCAACTGGCCAGCAAGCATGATGACTTCTGCAGTTCCTTCATTAAAATCTGAATAAGAGAAATGCATGTGGTTGTATTTGAGCACACCTTGTATTCAATTCTCTTTAGCCATAAACAGACCTATGACATTCCCTCTTTGGACAGATATCCCAAAGACCCAGATTTTGGACTCAAATCTGCATCTCTCTTTCACAACACATATTACATTTATCTGTGAAAGATCCTGTTTAAATTAAATAATTAATTGAATTTGACAATAAAAGGAACCTGAATGTGTTTTCGGTAGGAACACATTATCCATACATACCTAAAAAGGATACAATGGCTGTACAAGTAGGCACCCTTTCACAGACTATTTTGCATTATTGACAACACATGCTGAAATATAGCCCCTCAGAAAAGAAATGGAAATATTTCAAATGTGTGCAGGTATTTGTGCTAATAGCAGAAAACACAAGTGTATGGGATTTCCTTGGCTTAATTTTGTTAGCTGGCAACTAATGTAACTACACAGATTCTCCATCATGACTTACATTACCATCTGGTCTGGCAAACAGATTTAAGCACAAGTTTATCTTACAACTTATACAGAGGCTTGTTGTCTGTAACACAATAAACAGCCATTTAGAGATACAGATAGCAAACCATGTCAAACCTCTAGTTTTGATTCAATCCAAGTCATATATCACTGAAATTACTGGGACTCAAAACAAGATTATATTGACAAATCCCTGCCCATCTACTTTATTAGCATTCTTTTACTAGGGATTTAGTAACCAGCTCCTACCAACAGACACTTGCATTGAATTAAGCTACAAGGCCCTTTGGTCTCACAGTATAAACAAACAGCTTGCAGACAAGCTGGTATTTCACAGATGATTCTCTCATGTTCTCAAGAAACATTTGTGATAAAATCTCAACAGAAATATTGGCAGATCAGAGCAAAGTCAGTGAATGAGCAAGGAACTGTTAACATGTTAGTCAGCACTAATGCTTCAGAAGTCCAGATATTCCTTTCATCTATCATTAGAAGGACTAAAAGAAAGATTCTATTAATTGAGTAATAAAATGTTATTACAGAGCTTAATTAAGAAACTATTTTCATGTTTCTAAAAAATGGACACTGACTGAAAAGCTTGAGCAAAGAAGCATCTGCGTAAGAATGATGCAAATTAGTCTCTACTTTCTTTATAGCTCTTTCCATATATTTGACAGATTAGAAAGAAAAAAAGGTCAGGATAAGTAGTAAGTACATTTGACAGCTCAGAGACACTCCAAAAGCTTATCTTTTGAAAACTGATGGCAATCTCTTGTGCTAATTCAGGTTTCCTGTTTTGTTCCAATGTTAGCATATCCAAAGAAGGCCCTGTGGCCCAAACTCTATCACTGCAGCATGCTCCCCTTCAGTATCTTCCTAAGAGTTATTTTGTGCTAACAAGTTATGCTCTTTTTCCACTATGCAGGCAGCCCAGCCCTTGAGGACAAAAGTCAACAAAGCAGAAAAGATGTGACACTACTTCTGCTCAAAGATCTTGTGATGTGCTTTTTATTGCTACCTTTAGGGGAAAGGGAGGTCTACAGAAGCCACCACTATGGTTAAAAGTGTACTACAGCCTCCAGTGTGGTTCAGTTCGCTTCTGGTCAGTTGGATTGGAATGGGTGAAAACAATGCAAAGGCATTATACCTTCTATTTCCTTCTTGCTCCCTTTGAGCATCATATTAGAATGTCAAATCAGTGCAGCTCTTGAACTCCCTGAAACTGGAATCTCTACTGGCTTTCTGTACAGGGTCAGAAGAAAACTCACCACTTCTTTACTGCCACATGCAATTCCATGGAAACACCTCTTCTCATCAAACACACATTTCATTTTATGCTCATCTCTCTTTATATTCCAGGTCACAAAAAAGTATTGGAACTAGACACAATTGAACACATCTGTGTGAGTTTGTTTAGGATTTTGGTTTGTTTCTCTTCATTTTCTAAGCGCAAATGTGGCAATTAACAAGGCCGTTTCATGTACCTGTCTTTGTGAGACCCTATAGTCAGGATGCCTGTTTGGCAGTTATTTTGACAGCATGTTTCAACAGACTAAGTTAAAATCCTCTTAAAACTGCTTAAGATTTTTATCTGAGAGGACTCGATTTTGTCAGGGACTTGTGTTTTCCTATGTATGGCCATCAATTAATATGAAATGAACTAAATATATATATTTTTTGTTTACTTCAGGTGGCCAACAGCCATATGAAGAACAGTGTCTGCAAGGCTCTGCCAGACACTACTTCATGTAACTTTCATGACTGCATTTACTCCTAATTGATTCTGCAGTACTGTGCCCCCTATGGAGTGTTTTAAATCAATGTCAACCATAAAGCGATACTAAACTGTACAAGATCCCTTTTTGGTTGCAGTCAAAGACAACTTATTCACGGGGACGTGAGAAAAACTAAGTATATGAATGGAAACGTGGCCAAAACTCTCAGAATTCTTATTTCATAGCTTGGAGAATAGCAGGCATCAGAGCGTGGATCTTACCCATTTTCAATCAGGAAGAGTACAACAGAGCCTTTTCCCTTCACTTACTTTCCCCCCATTCCTTAATTAGTTGGATGCTGCATTGATTTGATTATTACATAACAGCTTCAGAAAACAGTGGAAGAGAAGTTCTTCCAAAACCTGCAGTTCAGGCTTTCACCCAGTATTTCCATACTACCGAACATGCTCACTGTTAGCAAAGACATACATAATTCTTACCACAATGTACAGGTCTTCTCAACCCACAAGTCCCAGCATACACATTACTAGCAGCTTCAGAAAGAAACTGCTTCAGAAGAGTTATTAGTCAGTAACTTCATTTCATTTTTCAATTCAGCACCTCATGGAAATTAAACGAGGGTATAGGTTGGTAGGGTAGACATGAGGAATCATAAAGGTCAACATGAAATAAAGATTATTAAATATAAATACCATTAATATTTATGACTGGTAAATAAAGGTAAAAGATTACAGTGAAACACAACTTAAATGAGTACACAGAGAGCAAATCAATTTTCTCTTTTATGGATTAGATTTTACACTTTTAGATTTTTTTTTTTCCTTTTTCTTTTTATTCTTTCCAGTCAGATGATTAGTTTTACAATTCACCCAAATCTGGCATTTTTCTCCCATAGAAATGTTTGGAGTTCCCTACATTAAGCACAGGATACATGATTACACTAGCATACAACAGTTTGCCTGTAAGAACAAGGCAGACAATCAAGAGCTTGGAGCTAACCTATTCCTCGTGTGAAACCAGAGTTCAGCATGAACCTCATGGAAGACACTGTGTTCACCTGAATTCAGTGTCAATTGTAGTGTCTTTAAAAATCTCCATCCTGTATTTCACAGTACACCTCCAAGCGCTTGGAGCTTTTACCACTATCTTCTTGGAAGGGCAAATGCCACTTATGAGACAACCTATGAGGAAAAGTTAATGCAAGCACAGTATTTGGCTCTGCAAGGGATGATGCATAGGGGCCTGCTGTGCGTACAGCCAGAAAATCACACTGTGTTTGCAAAAATAACCAGCTACATTTTGAACCAAAGCAAATTCTTTTCTATCCTGACTTAAAACACAACATAACTTTATAACTTCTTTTCTTTCCCTCAACAGCAAAAGGTTTGGTAAACTACTCAAAAGAATGATACCAGGTTTGGCCCTAACCCAGCAAAGCACATGTTTAACCTTCTGCATGTCACTAGTTTCTGAAATCAATGGGACTCCTTGCAGCCTGAGAGTAAATCATGTGCTTCAGTGCTTTCCCACAATAGGACCTTTACAATTGTTTTCTTCTGTACAGATAATACTAGGAACCCTCACTGAGTCTCAATGGCTTTCACATATGATGAAGAATCTCTGCTCTAGGTAGGAGGAAACCTTGCTAAACACCTCTTTTTACATCTTTATAGCCTTGTGTCCCATTTCTTTGTCAACCTGAGACCAGAATTTAAACCGTGTTAGATGCATAGATTAGTTATAAACAGAGGGAGCTAAATGCAAGTA